TGAGATTTTTATCCTAAAAATATTTATAAGCTTGTAAAGATCTATAATAGTTACAAATCTATTTTTATTTTTTTCAATAATAGCATCTATAATTTTTTCTTCTATAGGAAATTTAAACAGATTCAAAAAATTAAATTAGAGGAAGATAATTCATAACTTCTAATATCAAATAAAAATTATTATAAAAAAATAATTTCTCTCTTTAAAAAAAGAAATCAATGTTGAAAAACTATAAGTTAATTTAAAGCTGGGTAGTCTATAACCTTCAAAAACACAAATAAAAGCCGAATAATCCACTCACTTTTAAAATAAAATAAATTAAAAAAAAAAAAAAAAAAAAAAAAAAAAAAAAAAAATGAATTAAGATTCTTATCAAAATATCAAAGACATAAATCTCAAGGACATAAATCAAGTGATAAAAGATCAACACTTTCTTTTATCACTTGAAAAGACTTAAGAATCACTTAAAGATGATATAATATTAAACTAAAATGGCTATTACAAAAGACAGGAATACTACCAAGTCTTGAAACAAGATTAAGGACTAGAAAGATGTTGACAAGAATTAAAAAAGTTTCACTCTTGTTTCGATATATATATATATATATATTTAATTTAACTAGAAGCTATATAGTGATGTTCTATAGGACCTCTAACATGTGTTGACTTTGCATGATACATGTTTTAACTTGCAAGGCAAGTTTCCTATATGTGCTCCACATTGTTAACTTGTATCACAAGCTACCAACACATGCAACATATGGCTAGCTTGTTGGCGAAGTTTCTAATCTATCAATCAACTTAAAACATGTATAAAGTTAAATATATATCTAAAAAATTTTGCCACAAGATATTAGCAAATCTACCTATATTTACTTTTTATCTAACACTTCTTAAATAGATAAATATATATATATATATATATAGCCATCAAACTTAGGTTATTTTTCTGTAGCAAGTTTGCTTGAAGCCATGTTTCTTTGAAGACAAAAAGAAGATTTGTTTGTATTCCAACTTTCTATATAGAGTGTCTTCTATAGAGCCTTCTTTTTTTGTCTTTGTTTTAGTGTTTTTCTAAGTTTTTTATTATAAAACTTTCTCAAAGCTTCACTTTGATAACTTATCAGAAGTAATTTGAGGGTTTTAGAGAGAATGTAATAATCAAATTAATTGTTAAAATGGGTGTACATAGTTTTTACCATATCAAGAGAGGAGCGTCCGATTAAGTAGCATCTCCTTGACAAGCTGCAACGTTTCACTCTAATTCAGTTCGTTAAGTTTGGTTACTGTTTGTTTGTGATTGTTTCCAACACAATAGAAAACAAGATTATACATTCAGTGAAAGAACATGACCGAGTGCACACCCTCAACAGAACATCGCAATATTGACTAAGACGGCATGGCGTTGCAGAACTGATACAAGTTTCTAGAGTTGACCTTCAAAAGTTGTATTGAAAGATATTCGAATCATGTAATAAAATCAGTAGCAATGGACGCTCATCTATCCTTCGGACACAAAAAACCAGTTCAATCGACGAAGAAGTTATCGGCAAGCAATTTGGGATAAGGTTAAGGCTCCTGACTGCACCGCTGGCCCCATTGATCTCAGGGTTTATTTCTACTGCTTTCAGAGCACATGGAGAAAGATGGCAGTGAGATGAGCTCAGCTTATGTGCAAAGAGTAACAGGCATTCCAACATCTTGCTAGTGCTGAGCTTGTGATCGCTTCTTAACCCAATAACAAGCACTAACGTGAGAACTGAAAGCTACGCGACCCTCAAAATTCGCCTTTCTCCGCCAGAGGCATCAAGAAATGAAACAACACTCGAATGTAATTCAACACTGCTTGCCCGAGATTTTCATCCTTGCAACGATTATCAAATATTCTCAGTTTCGTCCCATCATTTGTGAATGATACAAGCTTGGAAACCCTAAGATGAAATTCCGAAAGCTGACTGCACTCTATTCACAACGTCTCTTGAGTACTGCAATCAAAGAATTTCATCGAGCTATAATTCTACGAAACGAAGGAGGAAATTTGATTGAATCTCTGTCAGAGGTATACGTGGACAACAGTTACAGAATTGTGAGATAAAGGAGGTCCTCCACAAGCAGTTTATCACTAGTTAGAATATGCAATAAAATTTCGCACCACTGTCGAATGCAAGGAAACTAATTGGCCACAAGAGAAATTGAGAATCCACATAGTCGCACAATCAAAGCAGGATGTCACATCGGGACCTGAATGGTGTTCGGAAGAAACAACCTCAGGGTGACGTGAAACAATCCCACAACGTACAGCTCCCCCTTCGACATCTCTTTCCCCGCAACTACCTACAAACTACACGAACAGTTTGCAATCCAGGATTCATAGAACCAGGCAAGCCGTGAAAAACACGGAAGAATCTCAAGGGGCGATCGGAGGTGGTTGAAAAACAGAATGTCGGAGACTGAGGACCAAATTCAGCAAACAGATCTTTCACACGTTCAGAAACAGAACAAAGCCAAAAGCGCTTCGTGGCCTCATCCACGTCCGTGGATTGACGAAAAGCACGGCAAAATATGGAAGTGAGTAACTACGCATCCAGAAAGCCTCGAGGTGGGAGAGATTGCTTAAAATACTTGCAATCGTCACGACACAGAATGCGGCCCAATCACAGAGAGGAAGTCGCCTGTGGCAACTGAGAATTATGAAGACACTTGATCGAACCACCACTAAGTTACTCACACACGCGCAGTGGTTCTCAGCCCTGGCATGGTTGGATTGCAAAGCATGAGATCCTGCGTCACGACAATCTGTGATCTGTCAGAACGGGACAGGAATTGTGTGTATCGCGGTACGAGCCGACACCGCTGCTTCGACCTGGCCCATGTTCAGGGAGAAGGAGGATGGTTCTCCCGCCAAAAGGGTCCACATCGCGCGGGAAGAAAGTTAATTAATTAATTAAATAAAAGTTGGAAGCCGAGCCTACTCGGCTTCCGTTTAGAAATTCCTAGTACGCGATTCGTCATCGAATAGATGAATGATTTTCGTCCTATGTGGTTCTCATTCATTCGGCCCTTGTGTTGAACCTCGTCTATTTTGGACCTTCCCCTGATGATAGGGGCATTAATGTGGGAATTATTCCCCTGCTCTGAGCTAAATCCATGGCATAATCCAAAAATAAATTATAAGTTTGCACTGCCAGTCATATACTTAGACTGGTTATTTTGAAGAATTCGAACAAGGAATAAATAAATCTTACGTCTCCGCAAGTGTCTTGTTCACATGATTTTTAAAATATGACCACTCACAACTTGATGTTTATTAATATAATGGATGCATAAATACATACAATAATATTTAAATCGTGTTATTTTTTTCGAAAAGAAAGAAACACCATTTTTAAAGGAGGAATTAGTATTGATTTTTTATTTTTACTATATCTTCTTGTCATGATGGACATTGCCATAATACACAATTGTACTTAAAACATAGGTCAGTTTGCATCTTATCACTTTAAATGTATATTACATTCAAAACCAGACTTAAGAATTAAATCTTCGGAACCAAGTCCATGTAAATATATATATATATATATATATATATATATAATGCTTTAATAATTAAATAGACTATTATATCTATTCAAATGGTGCACTGTGGGTGAGCATGTACACACAAACACATAATCATACACGAACATGTGATGACTCCTGTTCCAGTGATGCATTTTCATCCTGTTTTCTTTTCCAAAGACAATACATGTAAAATGAAAATATTGAAGTTAACGAGCAATCAAATTTTAAATCATAAAATACAGTATAAAATTTTGGAAGTCTTAGTTAAGGTCCGCTATGAATAATGTAGGAAAACTTGTTTAAGTTTAGAGACATGAAGCTTAATCAACTTCAACCTAATACGGTGTCATAATTTGTCACAGAGAGATATATATATATATATATATATATATATAGATATAATCAATCTAGAATCAGTATTCAACATTCATGTTTATTAGATGTAATTCTCATATATTTTTAAAATTATTTTTGAATGTTGCATATATGTATGTATATATGCATACATTTTACTATAAAAGTAGCTGAACTTAAATTAAATTTACATATATCAACATACATACATACATAGTTCAACACTCTTTTTAATGAAACAACTCACCACTGTCTTGAAAAACTTTCACCATTGAACGCAGCAACGAAAGGAACATTACCATACCCTGAAAACTTGAATACCGGGGTTATATACCCGGTGCGGTGTCCCACGAAAAATCTCATTCGATACCCGCCGGAATTGTGAGATAATCGAGCGGGAGCATAACGGCAAGCCGGTACCCGGAGACAAGAACTGGGTGGAACACCCGGCCAAGAGCGACGTCGACGACGATGACGGGGGGGCGGGGGGGGGGGGGGGGACTGGAGACTGGGGGGAGCAGCGCTGGTTTTGGAAGACCTGCTTGGAAGGAGCGGAGAGGTCGCCGCGGTTCTTTTCTTTCCCTGGCTGGCGCCCTTCCCTCGTCCGCGCCATCGGTCGCTCGCTCGCTCGCAATCCAAACCAAACCCTACGCTCCTGGCCATCCCCATGCTACTCGCCATCCTCATGCTCCTCGCCATACCCATGATCCTCGCCATCTCCATGCTCCTCGCCGTCCCCATGCTCCTCGCCATCCTACGCTCAATTTTCCATCCCCTCCGTCCCTCGCCCATCAGCCTCGCTGCACATCCATCAGCAGCACTCATGACGTCGCGCTGACAATTATCTCCTTCGTCGCTGTCTGGCTCGCGGCCACGCTCTCCCTTTCCTTCCCGACTTCGGTCGCATCTTCCATCTTACATCCTTCTCCTCCTCCTCCGCTTCCCTCTCTTACCCTTGGCCCGTTCCGCATTTCTCCTTTTTTCCAGCTCTTCCGAAGCTGCGTCGCCAGCGCGTTTCCCCATTCAAATTAGCGACTCCGTGGCGGGTTGTTCTGATTTTTTGTTTTTGTTGGGGGGGGGGGGGGGAAGGGGGGCTATTTGGTCATTGTGGCGGGAAAAATTCTCTTGGGGAGTGGTACATAGGTGTGGTACCGCGGGGTTTTGTAGTTTGCTCCCTCGTCGCCCTGTGTGCAGTGCTGCTGCGTGCGTGTACGCGGGGGTAGTATTGCCGGTATCCGATTTGGGCCTCTCTTCGTGTGAGGGGGTGTGAGCCAGGGGTGTTTTGGTTTTGGAGGTTAGAGTGTGCTAAGTGTTGGGGGAATTGGGCGTGCTGAGCGGTCGCTTTCTTTCGTTGCTTGTGTCGGTTATCTGACGGTCTTGGTACTTTTATTTTTATTTTTATTTTATTGTGGAGGGTGCGTCCGTTCGCGGTGGTCGATTCTTTTCGGTTAACTCGCATTTGGAGAAGTCCTCTCTTCCCCAGTGCGCTTCTTGACCTTTCTTTACGTAGGGGTGACTTGCGAAAAGCGAGTGCTTAGTTGTGAAGTGCTCGGTTGGTAACAGTCGTTTTGGTTGTTTAGTTAAAGAGTTCAGAGTACCCTGTTTTTTTTTTTTTTTTTTTTTTAATACATCCCGCGACAAGTAGAGCGATACCATGGTGGTGGGTGGGAATCAGTCTGGAAAAGGCGCCAAAGGGCTGCTCATGGGTAAAGCACCTGCTCCTGTCGTAGACGATAAAAACAAGGATAAGAAGAAGCCTACTTCTCGATCATCCCGGGCTGGTCTTCAGGTTCGCATTCTCATCCTTATTTTGCTTGCAGTTGGTATCATGTATCACATTTATGATTCGTTAACCTTCTAGGCATTGTTTCAATTATGGATCCTCTGTCGTCTTCTTCTTTGTTGGGGTTGCGAAAATTTTCCACTTTGTAATTGGAGGCAGTTATCATCATTTTCATCTCGTCTTCTCCGCCAGTTCGCAGTTCGGTCGGTGTTGCTGCTTGCATTGTAACACCTTCCCTACGATTCTCAACCTTTAGCTAAAAGAATGGTGTGAAGGAGGTCTTGGTGTATCATCAACGGCACATTTTGAGGATAGAGTCTGAATCTGCTAAACCATCGTATTTCCTTCCCAAAAAGGGAACTAGTCTAACTAGTGATTAAAGGATACGTCCTTTGAGGAACCGCATGTGGAAGCTCCAAGATAGAAGGAAGCTATACAACAGTAGGTGAATCCAGTGATAAAATAACTCTGCATTCACGAGTTTCTGCAGCTAGCACCGGCATTGGAATTGCATTGATGACATGCTACAGAGGGTCGGACCCAATGCTACACTTGATGGAGTTGTCGCTTTTGACTGCGCCAGACATACAATAACAGTACAATTTTATGACAAAAGGGCCTCTAGGTTGCGGAGTCTTCTTAACTAGGACATGCGTTTCACCGCAGGGAGTGCTCCAAGCGAAGAACTTGACGGTGTGCGTACGTTGTTTTGTGCTGGACAGTTCCCCGTGGGGCGTATTCACCGGCTGTTAAAGTCAAGAGTGGCCGCAAATGGAAGAGTGGGGGCGACTGCTGCGGTATATTCAGCGGCCATCCTTGAGTACCTTACTGCTGAGGTGTTGGAGTTGGCGGGAAATGCGAGTAAGGATCTGAAGGTGAAGCGTATAACACCCCGCCATCTACAACTTGCCATTCGGGGAGATGAGGAGCTAGATACTCTGATCAAGGGTACCATTGCCGGTGGAGGAGTTATACCTCACATTCACAAGTCTCTAATTAACAAGACATCAAAGAAGGATTGAGAAGGTTCATATCCGCAGTTTCATAGCTCAGGAGGGCACTGTACTGCAATGAAGTATGATATTGATACGATGCATCGTAGAGGAGAAAGAACATCAACGATTCATTTAAGCAGTTACTTTTCCTTGACATTCTTGACAAAGTTGCGGGCAGTCGAGGTGTTGGACTCCTGATTTTTCAGTTGACGCCTTGTGTATATGAGAAGTTCTGTGTAGGATGTTAGTACACTCTGTTCTGCTCTGCCACGACCTGGGGTTCGGTTCCGGTGTGTCCTTAGCTTTACAGATTTCTTTCATTTTCTCTCTTTTTTATTCCTTTTTTTTACTTTTCACTGAACGCTATTCTTGTGTACTTCAGCTTTTCAATGGCTTTTAAAAATCTCAACTCTTAGTTCTCTATGCCGCATCTGTGAATAAGAGCTGGTGAACTTGTATACTTGAGTGTTAGATCAATTCCTCTCTCCTGTTCCCGTCTTATGTTTTTCATGCTGTGAACTTACATTTGAGATGTAATTCAGAGGTAAACTCTACTGGTTGAAAAATCTTTTGGTCTTTGTTTGCTTGTATATTGGTTATCCTGTGAACCAGAGTTTCACCAATATGACTCCTGAAGCTTAGCAACTCATTTTTCTCGCACTAACGAGAGAATGCCCTTGGTTGCTCAGTAATAAAAAATTCAGAGTGGGGATCTTTTTCAAATCGACAAGAAATGAGTAAATGAATGTATGTGCCCATGATTACTTTATTGTAAGTTAAATAATGCATGAGTCTAAAGTAGGGCTTTTCTTGAATAGAAATATAGGAGCAAACTGTAACTTTTCTACACGGAGATTTACAGCGCACGGCCGCCAGTGTCGTCCTCAGAAAATGATGACCTCTTGATTCGGCTTTCGATGGTGTCGCATCCAGGCTACACTGTGATTGCTGCCCCAGAACATGGTTGTCTGTAGCCAAAATCTACGATGAATGATGGAGCAGACGTCAGGGGATGATCCTGTCTAGTCAAACCAACTGTCCAGATCGACAGACACTGATCACTTGTGAAGAAGAGGGGTGTGATGAAGACGTTCAGATATGATAGTAGATCGCCCTTCGATTGGTATATAAAGACCAACTTGTATATTGATTCTGTACAACTGCAAACTTCGCGAGGATTATTGAATGTGTTCAAACCCTTCAAATACGAACAGAAACGCGTTGAAGAAATCTGCAGTCGAGCTTCGCAGGGGCCTTCGAAATCTGAGGTCCTTTTCGCTACTCGATTCTGCTCTGCCATGACATGGGTCACAATGTTCACAGAAATTTCACAGTACGATACTTTCTCCGTCCTCCGTTTCTAAACGAATGCATCAGTTGGGTTTTGATCGACACCTGAAAGCAAAATCTTACGATAGAATTCTAAAATTCGGGAAAATTTGGGTGAACCAGTCCCGCGACAAGTCCACTCTAAATCAGGAACTATCCTGTTGATTGATTACGCGTTAATTTTGACTGCAAGTGCTGTAGCGAGGCATCAAGATCACTTGCAGGTTTATGCTTGGGGAGGATAAGTGAATTCAAGCCATTTGGCATCAAAAGAGCGTTGCAATTGACCTGGTTTGGCGATGATCTAAACAGCGGTTCTAAACAGATTATGAGCTTTCAGAGAATTTGAACGTGTCCCTTAGCGAATTTTGATGCACAAGTCTGTGGACAAAAGAGACGAAATGCCGAGGTTATATGTTCATCTATGGAATCTGAAGGCAAATCGAAACGTGCATTCTATGACCTTCCGTTCTCAAATACTGCCCAAGCGGGATAGCTGAGGTCTGAGAACTTCAGCAGTCTGCACTTTCAGAAATCTTTTGTGGACAATTACACTGATATCAAGCGAGGCAGTTCCAACCCAGGCAAAGATGTGGAACATGAAGAACATGGTCTACATTTCCTCAGTTCAGGAGCCTTCTTCACATAGTGCAAATCGTAAAACTCGTATTTCAAAGGCTAAGGATGACGTATCTATCTGATAATCACAACGTGAGATGTAATAAACATTGAGTATCACAGCTTCACTGTGCCAATTAGAAACTTCTGCAATCAAAACTGCGACGAGAAAAACGCAACGACCACCTCTTAATCCATCCCATTTTGTAGGATGTGGGCTATAAATCCACGCATGGCACAGGTGGTCAATGTGCTCTCCAAAGCTGCATGATCTGTCTAGATTAGGAGTACTACCCACAGAATCCTTCCCCAGCTTCGACCCAGCTTCAATTCACGACGTCTATCCTACAAATCATACCAAACCATGGAAAGCTAAGGGATCACCACACGAACTTCAGTTCATGTTGGCAATGCTGAGACACGAACGACTGAGCTATTAACGATTGCTATCTTGAGCAAAACTGCTTATTCTCAACGGCATTTTCACTCCATGACCTGTCGACATACATAGCATGGACCCAGCTCATTATTTGTTAAAGGCAACGCTGCTCTGTTTTGTGTTTTATTTTGTGATTTATTTTGTGTATGTGTGTGTGCGTCTTTTTTTTTTTTTGGATTCTTTCTGTTTTGTTTCATGCCTTCGTCAGTTGAATGGATTATAGATAGGTAGTGACAGGGTCCACCACGAAATCCTTTCGTCATTTTAGTTAGAGGAGGCATGGAATAATTGCAACATGATGTAACTATTTTATGTAATCTGTTTGTGAGTTGTAGCGACTTATGCTTCCCCTCAAACCTGTGCTTCAGTTAAGTTGAAATTTGGTGAATAGATGACATCTTTGCTGCACAACATGTTAAAAATATGTAAGTAAATAAATAAAAACATCAAATCATGTTTTTCTAAGCATATGAAAAGTTTAAATATAAATCTTGTATTTATTTAGTGATTGATATATCTGAAATCTAGGTATTTTTGGGTTCCAATGTGTAAATATTTTTGAACATGAAATAATATAGACACAAAACCAAGTATATATTATAAGAAAAAGTTTGTTACAATATTTTTTTCATTATCATATTATTTTGAAGTGTCTTAATCCAAACCAATCATGCAATATCAAACATCATTTAAAAAATGGACATAATTATTTATTAAAAAATACTAGATTTAAATGATTTATTTTGATGTAATCACATGCTAATAAAGTTGTTGGACAAAGTTAATTTTATGCTAGCAAATTGAAAACTAGTAAAATTTCTAATTATTCCACATTATGAAATTAACCAACCTTAGAAATTAGAGTTTTTAATCATTTTAACATGCTATCTATCATCTTAGCATTCTCAATAAGACATTCATTAAATAAATATTATATATTATTATTATTATTATTATTTTTGAAGATCAAAAAGAGATTTTATAAATTTTTCAACCATAAAATATTTGTTACACAACCTCTATAGCTTTAAAAATTATTAATAGAGGTTGTGCAACAAATGGTTATTATTATTAGAAAATCAGACTAAATTATAATATAAAAAATATATAGAAGTTACACCAAAATATTCTTAAATCCATATCTGAATTTGGATCTTAAAAATATCTTGGTATGATTTAACATAACACCTAAGACATAATAACCATTCTATTACCAATGTATTTAAAATATTTATTACTAACAATAAGTAATTTTAAGATTTTAAATTTCTAGTGTAATATTGAATTCTATCATTTTTATAATAGTTATTATTATTATTAGTAAATATATATAATTTATAAATATAGAATTATTTTATATTTAATTAAATATTTTAATGTTTTTAAATACTATTATATGTAAATTTGTAGCAATTTCAAAAAATATAACAATACATGTATGAATGCTTATATTAAAAAAATCTTATTATATTTAATTTTTAATTAATTTTTAAAATATTAAATATTATTATTTTTGAAATAGGATTGGAAAAAAGTTTAAGTGTATTTAAATATTTAACAATAAAATCATATTTTAGTGACAAAACGTAAAATTAATTTTTTTTATTTTCATAAATATAAATTGATTTTTTATTATTATTTTAATTTATAACAACAAATAATCTTAACTTAGTTTTAGATGTTTAATTACTCCTATATATGTTTTTGCTAATTCAACACATCTTAAACCACATTATTATTTTTAATTTTATAGAAAATTTTAAAACTTATAAATGAGAAGATGTTATAGAATCTTAATTTACTTGTAGTTATGAATATTTAAAACTTCTTTTGAACTTTCAAAAGATTATTTAAATAAATTATTTATATTATTTTAAATTATATATATACATATAGAAAGATGTAAAATTGATCCCAATATTTACAAAATCAACCCACCCATCCTAACCATCATCAAAAAATTCTCCAATTTGAGATCCACATTACTCAAAAACCAATGAAAAAAATGGTTGGATCTTGAACCAATGATGATGGGTGGATCAATTTGGTAAATACTTGGAACAATTTAACAATTTCTTTTATATATATATATATATATATATATATATATATAATTATTCAATTTTTAAAAAATATATTATTTCATACACAAGATTATAATTATTTATTTATTATTTTACTTGTATTAAAATTCAAATAAGATATTTTGATAAAAATTAAAAGATAAACATAATGTGTTTATTCTACTGAGGTTCATTTAAACTTTAAAAGTCATAATATATTTAAAAAATATAATTATTATTTTAACCAAAATACTAAAAACAATTATACAAATTTTAATGATTTTTAAACCTAATTTTTTTTGAAAAATTAAAAATTATCTAATTTCTAACTTAAAAAATATAAACATGGTTTTATAATTTTATATGTTAAATTTATAGTATTTCTTCATGCAATTTATCTCTTGAAAACTAATAACCTGTAATAATTATTCATAATTTTAGTTATCAAATCCATTCTGAGATAATTAATAACCTTTTATTTTTAATAATAAATGGTTTTAATTTACTTTTACTAATTAAAAAAGATAACTAACAAGGACTACATGGCTTGTAAGGTGAAAGAAAACAATCTAGATTATAAAGAACAAGCAAGTATGATTTCTATTCTATCTTTCATATACCATTTTGATGATTAATAATTCCTTACAATTATTATTTTTTTCTATAATAGATGATACTTATAAACATTTGTATATAGAAATATAAATGGTTTTTATTAAAAATTTTAATCTTTTAGTTTAAAGATAAAAACTATGCTTTTGCTTTTGTTAAAAGTTGTATAGCAATACAACCTTACAACAAAAATAATTGTCTTTGATAGTACTTGTATCTTATTTTTTTTTAAGATATCAACATAATTCTCTTGTGAAATTTTTAACAAACTTAAATTAATTCAGATATTCTATTTTAATTTTAATTTTAATTTTTACACATAAATATTTTAAAATTTTATTAATTAATCTAATAAAGTTTACTACTACTTTTTAGAATTCGATCCATGATTAATTATAGATTATTTTTAGGACTATTTTTTTGATTTTTAATAAGACTCTATTTAAAATTTCAATGGTAGAACACTATAATAGGGCCTAACAACATAATAATTTAAAAGACCTGGCTAGGACAAACTTTTATAGAACTTCCTATTAAGACTTTTAGAACTACAATATTATCTACTTATAGATCAAGATTTCTTTAAAAAAACATTTGATTTATATAAGTTTAACTATAAAAAAGAAAAAAAAAAGAAAAAAGAAAAAAGAAAAAAACATATTACTATGCTATAAAAAATCTAAAAACTATATTCTAAAAATATCAATATGATCATAATATTTAATTTTATATAATTAATATTTTTTACGTTTTAAAAAATAAATTTTGTAAAAATCAAATTATTGCTCTAATATTTGAAGCAAAAAATATTAAAAGTTTAGAATTTTATCTTATTCAACATATACTATTATAAGACTTGCAGCTTAAGTAGCTCATTTATAGTAAAAAAATTAATAGCTTACTAATTTTCTTGTTTACAATAAAAAAAATTTTTTCAAAAATATTTTATATAATTGATTCTTTGATCTTAAAATTTTAACTAAAAAATTTTAAAAATATAAATTTAAATTACATATGAATAAGATAGTTAATATATATATATATATATATATATATATATATATATATGTGTGTGTGTGTGTGTGTGTAAAAATAAAGTAGTTCTATTAAAACTAAGAATCTTTTCATAAAAAATCACTTAGGATATTTTTGTAATTTATGAATTTAATTTCTCAAAAGTAAAATAAGTAAAAATAAAATGATAAATATAAATATAAGTATATATCAATGTTAGAGAAATAAAAAAGATCTTCTAAAACTTGCTACTTTAAAATATATATACATGTTTATGAATTTTCTATCCATAAACTTTTAAAAACTTAAATGCATATTTAAGTAGAAATAAACATATATTATGATTTTTTAAATTCATAAAAGAAAAATAAAAAGATAAACTATTATAAAGTTTAAAAATAATACTTAAAATTCTCTCAAGTTGAAGAATGAACTAGGTTAGGTGAGCAATTCAAAAGATCTCAATGATCGATTTAATATTCCTACAATATATTTGACATTTGTTTTTAAAAAATCAAAAATATTTCTTATAATTAGCATGTATATGTTAATTAATAAATTCCATGTGGTTAAATTGTGTGTATAAATATAAATATATAGAGAAGAATGTTAAATAGACCCATCCTTGATGAAAAATATGGTAATCATGATGAATGTGGTTGCTTTTTATTGGTTGCAGATCCAATAATGGGGAAATGAATCTAGAAATCATTATTTTTTTTCATAATGGTTAGGATGGGTAGGTTGATTTAGTAAGAACTTGGGTCTATTTAACATTCCCCTATATATATATATATATATATCTCTTTCTCTCTCTCTCTCTATATATATATATATATTATAAAATAAATATTATATAATTTTTTGAAAAGACCTACTTATTGAAAATACACAAGGAATAGAAAATCTTATGATACATTAACTGGAAGTTTCAAAGGCAGTTGTTTGCATGCATAGGCCAAGTAAAGCCACCACTTTTGACTTGGGTTCCATTCCTACGCACTTTCGTTGAACAGAAAAGCTAAGCGTACACTTTGAAAGAACGTAAATAGATGAACGTAGATATCACAAGAACGTATGAATCAGATCAACGCCACAATCTTGACTTGGATGAATGGATGAATGAAGAAATGAGAAGAATGAATGTGGTGGTGGGAAGCGTGTTAGAAGGTGATGATCGCAAAGCCAAAGTGGTTGGTGGATATGACGTTGCTCTTGGCGGCTCCTTTAGCGGGGCCGGTGTTTCTGTACTCCCTGCCCTTACCTTTGGCGGCGCCTCTATTGCAATCTCGTGGCGTCAATTGAAGACCCGAATGCCCCGAGTTGAAGACCCCAGCTTGAAGACCCGCAACGCCGCTCCATGAGTGAAGCAACTTGGAAGCCGAGCAACTTTCCCGCCCCATTGGGTTCCAACCCCAGCTGCTTCGGTCCAGGATCTCTTTACTTTTATGTTTACTTTGTTTTTCTTTAATTAGAGCTCTGGTCCAACTTTGAATTAGTATGCACTTAAATTACAATGATATATCTTGATTCGGACCCCAGTTTCAGCATTCTGACAGCTGGTCGTCCTGATCAAGGAGTCAAATTGCGTACCTACTCTAAATTGAATAACCTTGTGACATTTTCATACAACAGTTAGGTTCTCTCTTTCTCTAAAAATGGTGTCAAGAAAATAGATTCGATACTCTTACATCACGAATGCGAAAAATTATTGATCATCCTCTCGTTAACATCTCAGATTAATAAAACATCACTTTGGGGTCTTTATTTATTCTTATAAATGTGAGCAATTCTCTGGTGAATGGGGCGTGTTTTGTGGGGGGTTTGCAACATGAAGCTTGAAAGTGTTGAAAAACTTTCCTAATAATAGTAACACAATCATGATATTAGGAGAAGAATACAACAAACAAGATGTGTTTTTCTCAACATCGTGGAATATTATTTCCAATTATTGAACTTAGTAGGTAATGGAAAGTCTACTACTCATCAACAACACCAATAACCCCCAAATAATACTGTGTTTAATTCGGAAATGAGGGGCAAGCAGCTCACACGAAGATGCAGGGGAACAGCATTTTCACTAAATAGTATGGGCCACGGATTGGAGGGAATCATTAGGGAACGACCAAAATTACATTTTTCTATGCTCCCTGTGTTGTGAACCCAAAAATATATACTATACACAGGAACACAAATACGTATATAATCGATATTAGTATATATACGAAGCAACCAAAGCAACGTGAGCGTTGACGGGGGAGTCTCCAGAGACTCAAAGCGGCGGAATGTTTGTCGATGGCTTTATTTAATTGATTAATTAATACAAATATTCCGGAATCGCGACTGAGAGTTGACAGTCACGTTTGTTGCGGAACCCGATCTCACGCTGACTGATCGATCGATCGATGAGTAACGAAGGCTGGCTGGCAGGCTGTCGAGGAGCGAGCGTGGCGACTGATGGGAATCTGCACTGTAGGTCCGCGGGCTTCACCACGATGCGATTGAACCATCCGGTCAAAGCTGTTGGTTGAGAATCAGGAAGGGGCTGATTCATGTGTGGACGGCGTGATGACTTTGGAGCACTCGAAGTAGCAGTCGAAGAATTTGCCTGAGGGGAAAGACTCGCAGCACCATTTTACAATACTTTGGGTCTCGGGTCAGATTTGAGGTTAGGTTCAAAGGGGAGAACCAAAATAACACGCTCCGCCGAGGATAGGTAGAACGTGACTGGGAACATTCTTATTGCAAAAAGGAACCTAGGCGGGCGATTTATGATGCGTTGCATAACGCGTCACGTGAGGCAGTGTGCTTCGTAATGGTGGTGTCAGTCAGTTGGCAGGATCTGATCGATGGGGTGTGATCAAGGAGCCACTGCGTTGTTAAGTCTAATGCTCATTTGACTGCTCTTAAGAGACATTGTAGTGGATGAAGATTTAAGATTGAGGTCGCCATTGATGGTGTTCCAGTGGAGAATTGAGAAAGGCTCGTACGGTTGGTACACATCATTATTATTGTGGGAAGCTGAGGAAAGCGAACTAGGAAAGCGACAGCCATCGAGCAGAAGGAAAAGTTTCGTGAGGAGATCTATGGTTGTTGACATGTGGATTTCATTGTTTCAATCGGAAGGATTACGCTTCTGTGATCAGCTCTGTGGTGAGGGGCAGGAGACCGAGCTTGCAGGCCATTTCTTCTGCAAAGCTCGAGTGGGTCGGAAGGATTAGTAAAAGTTGGGTGAATCCGCGTGATTTCGCGTCTCTTTGAACTAGAGTGCGCACTGTCGTTGCGTGCAGCAGCATCTAGGAATAGCAGGGAAAAGTGGGAAAAATCAGAAGGTAATAGGGCGGAAATTTGAAGTGCACAAGTCAGCAGCAGCGGCCTAGGAGGAAATCGTGGTGCTTTCCAACAATCGCCTGTCTTAGAGCTCGTGGTACGAACAGAAGTGGGGCTTTCATTTACGATGTGCGCTTCCTCGATACAATAGTTGGCGTGGGTTCATTTAGTATGGTGATCGCAGCAGAGAGACGCCATTCTGTAACTCACAAAAATGTTGAAAGTGCAGGTGACGTAACGAGAGCTCGAGCGTCCAAGAGGCGCAAGGATGTCGAAAGTAGGTGTGTTATTGTTGGTGGCTGTGACCACAATCGTTTGCTTGGGCTCTGGAAACGTGCATGCTCTTGGAGTGGTAAGCAGAATCTGGCAATTGGCTTCACTCCAGAATCCCGATTGCGCGAAGTTAGTATTTAATTACTGCCCTGAGTTGTCATAAGAGTGGATCACAGTTTGTAGCTCACTCGCTTCAGCCTGTATTGCAGTGCCGGCTGCAGTTTGGTCATTTCGGATCTGGGTACATCTAAGCGAACTCTATCAAAGCCAGATTTATGGCGGATGGTGTATGAAAGGAGTGAAAATTTTCAATTCCGCTCATAGCTTCAGTTGATGTTCGGGGCGTTTCCCAAAGATTTTTTTTTTTTTTTTTTTTTTTTTTTTTTCTCCCCTTCTTCTTCTTCATCAAAGCTGTTGTACTAATAGCCACGCGTGACCATTCCACGCTCTTCAATCTCTTTTCACACCACTTGTGTACCAATTAGTTTCACAGTAGGCTTCCTAAAACCGTCTTTGAGGTCTTTGAAGAATGTGCTTCCTGAGTTGATTTGGAATTTCTTCAGGCTTTTCAGGAATTTGAGATACTTTGCATAGACAGCTGTTAAGTATGTTTCATTATTTACCTCTAAAGGATGTGCAGTTAGAAATTCTCTTCGGACTGTTTTTTTGGTCTTTTGGTTTTCGAAGATTCTAAACAAACTTTCAAACATTTGGAGGTTATCAGCTCAATTAAGTTGTACCGCGCTGAGAACTCTGCTGCGCCACTCAATCCCTAGTTGTGATTATTTTAGGCTTTGTCTACCATCATATCTCTTGGATAGGCACCGCCGTGTCGTGGTCAGAAGCACAGCGTAAATAGCGCATGTGAACTCAATGTGCGATGTTGTAGAATGTTTGATCTAAGAGCCCACAAAATGTTCTATGCAGGCCTCAGATCCTTGTACAACAGATCAGGACTGCGGACAAGGGTACTACTGTTTTTCTTGTGATGGAAATCCTTCGGTCTGCACCCTTGATTTTGCTTCCCCGGTCTCTTCTTTTGCACAGGTTTGAACCGAGCACGAGTCCTTTCTCAATAGATGAAACAACATTTAGCATATTTTGTTAATGTTCAGCTCAGAATACCTACTCCCACAATATCGTGATTGATTATTACACCCTGGATTTGTATGGTTTTTTCAGAACTTCTCCCAGCCCTTCAACAAGTATGCATGGGTCACAACGCACAACTCTTACGCCATTGTGGGTGAAGCGCCAGTTCTAGGAGTTACGATCGTCTCCCAAAAGAATCAGGAAGACAGTATTACCAGCCAACTTAGTGTACATTATTCATACCTTCTCCTTTCTCTAAATAAACGTCTATTCCTCACGATAATGCCGTAAGAGCACGAGGCCCCCATGTCGACCGAACTGCAATGCAACACATATTTTGTCAATTGGTTTTAGCCGCTGAGGGAGTTTCATAGTATTCACTTTGTCTCCATCGTTGGCATTGGACATCTTCCAGAAATGTTATTAATCTGGATATCAACCGAATTGACTAATTGTAACCTTAATCCTTCTGTTATTTCAGGTAGAATCAGCTAAAATAAGTTTATTTCCGAGGACCGTAAATGGTTGGATTCCTCAACACGTAGGTACCGCAGGCTGATGCTTAGAACGTCTTGAACAATGCACTGAAGATGATTTTGATGCAATGTGCAGAAAGGCGTCCGGGGCCTCATGCTTGACATTTACGAGCTGAACGGGGACATATGGCTTTGCCATTCGGTTTATCAACGGTGCTATGACTTCACTGCATTTGTAAGTGCTTCTGAGATGATCCTCTAACACTGCAATGCGTTTTTTGAGATCGGGATCAAGCTCGGTTACAGGTTTTATGTACTGCATTCAGATTGGAGCAGTCGTCTGTTTACAATATACAACTAGATATCTTTGTTCACAAGGTTAATGCTCCTCGAATTTTAGGTCGTATGCGCAACTTGTCACCATGGATTTAGGGCAGATCTGCACATTCAACCATTAAACAGTAGAATAGTACTGTCAACTCACTAACTAATGTACATAGTCTTTACACTGATCCAGCGACCACTTAACGGTACATTAACCGAGATTGAGACGTTCCTTGCGGCAAATCCGACTGAGGTAGTCACCATATTTTTCGAGGATTATGTTAACACCACGAACGCCCTCACCACAGCCTTTCAAGCTGCTGGTCTGACCAAATACTTGTTTCCGTTGGCCAAAATGCCCAAAGACGGGAGTGATTGGCCTACTCTGTCTACAATGATAGCGGACAATCAGAGACTGTTGGTTTTCACTTCGGATAAGAACAAGGAGGCCAGTGAGGGCTTCGCTTACCAGTGGAACTATGTGGTTGAAAACCAGTGTGAGTTGGCATGTTGCCCCTTTCTTATGAAGACTTTTCTGGTCATTGAAATTCTTTACCACGAAAGAACAATTATAATTTCAAAGCGATACAGTCGAACTTCTTCCAAATCATGTTAGAAACAGACGTACCTGAGAAATGCTTTTGGGGGTGATATTGTCAAAGCAATGCTACATCATACAAAATTAGTATTATGGCCTATGGAAACTAGAATCTATTGAGGGGCTTCAGGAGCAAGAGTTAAACGCGTTTATTCCCAGTTGAGAAGAAACTCACGATTTCCAGGAGTTCTCTAACCCTATACTGTGACTGGTTTCGCAGATGGTACATTGAATCAATCGTGTCTTCCTCGAGAATCTTCTGCTCTCTTGACAGATAAAATGAAGACGCTGTTTCTGCAGAATTATTTTCCTTCGAATCCAAACAGGACCACTGCTTGCATTGACAACTCTGACAACCTTAGCAAGGCCCTCAATGTATGCCACACAGCAGCAGGAAATCGGTGGGCAAACTTTTTGGCTGTGGACTTTTACCAGGTGAGTCCGATCCTTAGTCAAAGTGGCTTAAAAAGAGAGGTTCACTTCACAATTTCAGACTACTGCTCCTACCGTAAAGCCTAAGTGGGTCTTAAGTTTTTGACATTGCGTCTCATTGCAGAGAAGCACCAGTGAAGGAGTGTTCAAGGGGGTTAACACTCTAAATGGACAGTTGCATTGTGGCTGCGAGGACATTCGAGCCTGCGAGGCAAGTTTCCGTTCGACCTGTTTTCAATCTTTCCCACAACTCCTGATTTAATGGTCTCACTGCTCGCTTCTGTAACAGGTCGTCTGATACATTTGTGTTCTTTCTAAATACCACATCCCTCCTAGATTGGGTTCATTCTGTCATCTCGAGTTCAACCTTCTTTCTGTTTTTTTATTCTTTTGTCTTTCTCAATTCTCTTATGTGCTACAGTTATCCTCCGCTCTGTTAGGTTGTTGAGAGCTCCATTTCTTGTGTAATACAGGGCAGTACTGGCCCAGGAATTTGCAGTGTGGTGAACGCGTCCGTGGCATCACCCAGAGTACCCCCTCCACCAGGTCCACCAACTACGACGTCTCCACCGGGCCAATTGTCGGCGGGCATTTCATCCTCTCCATCCGTTGCTTTCAGTGCATTACTAGCGATTCTTTTGATATTTATTTGGTAGCTCATTCAGCTTAACGAGTTCAGCTACATAGAAATATTTGGCTTGATTTTTAAGGTCCATTTACCAGGCTCGGGCACAATGTTTCACGAAGAGTCATTTGTTGAAGAGTAGACAAGTAGGAATTTTCTCCCAGCAGTGTGAAATATACAGTAAATACAAAGGAATTCAGAACGTAGTCACAATTGAGCTAAGCTTTTGGTTTTAAGCTTATGATACATTTGAGCACTGCAGTTGTAAGTCGATTCCATACTTCCATGCGTGGTTACCGTTCATACTTCTGCTAGATTTTGATGTCAATTGTAACAAATCGAGAATGATGCGCTTAGTGACTCTTCCTCAGCGTGAACTAGAGATTCACAGAAGCAACTCATTGACGTTCCCTCCAAGCTTATCATGTGAGAAATACCTGCTTCGAGTTCTCTTTCAACTCTTCGTTCCTTTCAACTTCTTTCCCATGTCTACAATATGTGCCGTTGAGTATGAGTGGTTTCCTGAGTAGTACCCCACGATATCCGAGAACAAAGGCAGATTAAGAACACCTTTCAGTGTCCCATGGACGCAACATACCGAGCATGATGCATATTACCCTCATTCTTAAAAGAAATAGGATGCGACCGTCGGCAAGAATTCTGGTCCGCAAGCTCCAACGTAGTTAAGATTATCCAGCGATAGCCCCAATTAAACACATCCTCCTGCTTACAGCGAACTTCAGAAATAAATGGAACCACACCCACAGCCAGTATGAATTTTCAAATGGCTTAATAAATTCAAAGCGATGTTCTCTGGCTTGAATTCTTCCATGGCTGGAATCATTAGTTCTGTAATGGTGTGTTGGCAATCCTTGCGTCGGGTACCATTTGGCAACGTCGTTTTCAAGTTGAAGTCCTCAATCAGTTCCTATACTATGTTCGTCCGTTGCTCCCTTCGCAGATTCATTACAGGAGTGAACGTGTGACTCAAATACAGCAAAAAGTGAACAAGGATGAGTTGGTTTGGTTATTTATTCATTTGGAAACTCCACACTCGGAGAAACTGTTCTCAGAGTGATTTTAGCGAACTCAGTCTTGAGCACTGGGGTGTTGATTTCAGCCATAACTTCCGCTTTTTGGATGGTAATTATGGTGGCAAAACCTTCTTACCGAACTTGTGAGCGTTGCACCCTTTCGTGACTCCGGAAGTCTCATCCTTGAAGCTGTAGGTATTGGGCTCGTTGGCTGCAACCCTGCATTGCATTTTTGCAGCTTTGGTTGTCTGGTGTGTGAACTGTGTCTGACCAGTTAAGAATTCTATCTCTCTGGTGTAGATGCTCAAGGGTCAGACATAATATTTCGAAACTAAACTTCTGACGGGATTGTGGCAATTGGGTTTCTTAATTTTGTTGAGCTATGGTAAAGTTTTCCTTTGGTGTCAGTCGACTCTTACATGAGATTGTAGACAAACACCCTCATATTCAATTAACTTGAATATGATGTCAAACGATGATGCAAGTTTGAATTCAAGCTTGAACACCTCGGTTTGTGTTTGCAGGCTCGTAAGCAAGGAGGAGCTTGTGGACAGAGCATTTACTGGCAACTAAGGAGAGATTCTCATCAGGTTTGTGGGTGACAAATCTCTAGTGTTCCTTCAAGTCTGTTCCAGAGAGCATGTTTCAAATATTTTGCATCAAGCAAATTTGCAGTAAATAATGCCTTTTGTATCCTATTTTTAAGTTATCTGCCTCTCTCGAACTCTCTCCACAAACACACACACACATATATATATACGTACATACATACCTGTTGGCAGTGCTAGATCTTCACAGATACTTGCCTGCTGATTTCTCACATCTTGTACTTCATTATTTTTTGTAAAATGCAGCGACTTTATTCATTACACAGAATCAACAAATTCCTACTATGGTCAGTGTTGTTGAAGATGAAAATAACCTTGACAACCATCTTCAACAGAGCAGAGAATGCTTGAAGAACGAGGTGAGGAGTTAGTTTAGCCATCTTCTTCCGGAGCCACCAAATACTTGCCATATAATACAATCCGATCTTCTGCTGCCATCGTACTATCTTCAATCCGTTCTTTACAGTGGCACTTAAAGCGCAACCACAAAATTGACAAACTACTTCATGTAGTGATGGATTCGTCCACATGAAGCAATCTTTCTGAAGCTAGTGACTTATCCTGACACCAGTTCCGTGTGTTGCTAAATGTACAGTTCATGCCTGATCGGAGCAACTCATCTGAAATAGAAGCGTCTGGGAACATGGCACAACCACAACTACACACAAATGTGTTATTTTTATGGTATTTTAGTTTGAATTGATTGATGTGCAATTGTATATTCAATTGTTAACTCTTGTGATATAAATTATCAAGTGTTTCAATTTAAAATATGTCCATTATACATATGGGTATTGAAAAAAATAATTATGTTTCGATTATGATTCTTTGTATATGACCATAATACTTCTTTACATACAAAAAATACCAAATATTGAATCAATCTAAGACCATTCACTGTGATCTTTTCAAAAAAAAAAAAAAAAAAAGGTTAAATAAAAGAAATGATTATAATGAAAAAAGAAAAGAAAAGAAAAGAAAAAGTGTTGAAGTTCTCTTCTTTTTTTTTTTTTTTTTTTTCTTTTTTCTTTTTTCTACATCAGGGTAAAAAGAATCTAATATATTTATCTATCCATAAAAAAAATTGGAAATTTTTAAGTTTAATTTCTTAAATATTTTTAATTAAGTATTAAAAAAAAAAATCAAAAAAATATATCTCAAAGATTAAAAAGTTAAAAATTATATAAAATTAATTAATTATAAAAAATGGTTAATGCAACATCTCCAATTGATATTGCTATACTCCATGTAATCTCCACACAATTTTAATTGATTAAAATGTGTGCTCCAATACTTACTACATATTTGATAATCCAATATTTAAACTCAGTATCGTTTCAAAAATAGAATAACTAAAAAAATAATATTTTTGACAATCAAAGATATAAATAAATAAATAAATAAATGAAATTTTGAAATAAATAATTTTTGAAGCAAAGATATCTTGCAACCTATTTTCTTGTAAAATATTCAATGTCTCCTTCTTAACCACCATTCTTTTTTAGAACAAAGAAAAAGAAATATGAAAAAGAAAGAAACATACTATTAATTAGTTGTCTATAAGAAGACATAAGATGTATAGCAATATCATTTTGGAATTTAGTGTTTATAATTTTGTAATTATAAACATATATTTTAAAAATTAAAATAATTTAATTAATATTTTTATTCTTTATAATAATAAAAAATTAAAATTTTAATAAAAATAAAAATAAAAATATTAAAAATATTACTACAATATAATTAAGCAATTTATTATTTATAAAAAAATCTAAATATTATATATGCCTTAAAAAGTAAGATTTAAGATAAAAGTTTAAAAAATAAAATATTATTTCAAATATATATATATATATATATATATATATATAATACTAAAAAATTCTTGAAATAAGAATAAAGACAAGAAAGGCATTGATAAGGATAAAAAAGACTTTTCTCTTGTATCTATATATACTAATTAATTAAAAGCTATATGACAATACTCTATAAGACCTCCAACATACATCCAACTTATAAGATATGTGTTTAATTTGCAAAACAAATTTCTTCGATGTATAATATGCAACTAATTTGTTGGGCAAGTTTTTAACCTACTAATCAATAAAAAATTCGTATAAAGTCAAATAAATACCTATAAAGCTTTTAAGAAGCTCTTCCACAAGATATTATTAAATCTATATATATTTACCTTCTACTTTATATTTTATATCTAGATAATTATGTATATTATGACATATGGTTCCTACTTCTATTAATATTATTAGATAGTGAGAGTCTCTTTCAAAGTTGTGATAGTAAACACATTGTATTTTATCATCTATTAGTAAAAGAATATGTCATTTTTAAAGATTTTTATTTCTATTATATCATTTTGAAGGCATGACCAATGTCAATGTTTCACCTAGTAATTCAACAAACAATAGTCCTTAAGTTGAATTTTCTTGTTGTTAATTTTTTATCTTCTTAGCCCTATATACACAAAAAAAAAAAAAAAAAATAACAAACAAGGATAGAAGAAAGAATGTAATATTCATTAAAATTAATTATTTTTATAATAAAACATTGCTTGACTCTTCATCTTTTTTTTAATAGGCATTATTGATGAAAAGCATTAACCTTCTTTATTGCATTTGTAAGATTATATATGGCTTCTATTCACTAATACTATATCCATATTAATGTATAAGCTATTCTAATCTATTTTGGTGTTGCCTTGCATCTAAGACTTCTTTTTAATTTCAAATTCTTGATTATAGTCCACTTTTATAGAAAGAGGTGGCATTTGTCTTCTTTTTATTATATCCATTGTCTTGTTTGATTCAAAAAAAAATTACATGGAACACAAGTTGGATCTTCATAGAATTTGATAGGTCTAATCAATAAGTAACTAGATTATTTTATTCACAAATAGAAAAACGGTCTAAATCTATAATATCCTAATTTATTATAAAAACAATAAGTCTTGATATTACAACAAAATAACCATATATTGACTCTAATATAGAATTAAGATTGTTCTTTGCAATAAGTATTTGTATTGATCATTTTTTTATTCTTGATCTTTCTTTAATTGTACCTTCATTATTACATATAATTCCAATAAATAATTTGTCAAATTTTTTATGATTAGATTATTAACTTTTAAAAAGTCAAAGGTATTAAATTATGGATGATAAATATAATTAGCATAGAAAAATATTTTTTGAGTAGAAGAATATACTATATTCATATAAATAAACTTTATCAATGGTAAAAAAATTATCAAGTCATTTTAATAGTAATTGATGGTATATTTCAAATATTATTTCAAAACTTAATTCAATTGTTCCATTTGTCTATCAATTTGAAGATAGAAAGCAAAAGATAATTTTATGTCTACCTTTAATATTTTAAAAAAGATTTTTCAAAATTTTGATATAAATTGAAGCCATCTATATGATATAAAATCCTTTGGCAATCTATGATATTAATAATTATTGTCAAAATTTTATTTATTTATTTATTTATATTTTTATATATGATAGTTTCTAATTCCTATAATTACTAATAAAGTGAAGTTCTATACAATTTGATTTAATCTAGTAGTTGGTGCAAAGTTTCTCATGTTATAAATTTTATCTAAAACTTGTCAATTTCAACTTAAAGAAGATTGGTTGAAGATTGATACTTAGAAATTAATATTTGACAAAAATAATAATTGTCTAGTGTTAATTTATATTAACCAAAAAAAATTATTTATACTAAATCATGACCAAATATGGAGCCAAATGAAGTCGACAAAGAAAAATACAAATTATAGATCTTTGCAAAGAAGATGCAATTCACTATTCATAACTCCATGTATATAGTAGAACTATTGAATCATGGTGGTAGTTACATAGCTGGCAGAAATGATAAAAGTGTGGAAAGAAATATCAATATTCTTTTAAATTTTTAATATGGCTACAATTTTAAGATTTATTTAAGTAAAGTAATAAAAAATAGCCATTTTTTTTAATAAAAATTATTTGTGAAAGTATTATCTAATTTTAATACTAAAACTTAGAATAGATTTTAATAACATATATATCTTTAATTTAATCTTTCCTTTATTGAGTTGAATATCTATTTAAAATTCTTTCAGATTTTATTTTAGCAAGATCCAGAAGACAACTCTAACTTTTTTATTCTTATATTATAATTCAATAATATAAGAAATCACCAATTCGTTGAATTATAAATTGCTACATTCGAAAATGTATTTAGAAAACATCAAAATACTAATTTAACCGAGTGTGAGACTATGCAAATATTGATAATATATTTGATAACGGAATTTTTTCCACAAAATTGAATGGTATTTTCTGAGAAGAATTAGAAAAGCTGACCTTAGCTGTTGAAGACATTGTCCCTCCTGAAAGATTTTCAAATTCTCATTCGCCCAACTTCGAAATTGCTCCTCCATCAGGAAGTTGCCGAATGTTTCACATCGCAGACAGAGAACAGAACTTCAGGTTTTAGTAGTAATGTGCTGAAGACTTAACTCACTTCACTTTTGTCACAGCAAATTACCTGATTGACACGGATCATGCGCTCTGGGCGTTCCAACCATTGCAGTTCTGCCACAAGTGGATGTAACAAGCCGATTAGAAGACGGCAATACCTATGTGATGCGAGTCACACAACTCGTGTAACACTCATCTTTGCCATCCTGGTTGTATCCATTGAGAAATTACACTACATCCAATAAACTACCGATGAATCCGCACGCTATAGCAATGATCTCGTCGAGTTTTACTTGTGACTGTTCCATGCTCTCATTAGAGCCCACAGCTCAGATGCTATTGCATGAAAGTGATTAATGATCGAATGTTCCTTCACTGTGATTCCGGCACGGCATGAATTTCGATGCGATTGAGTGGGACTCAAAAAACAATCATTAAAAAGAATAATTTCATGAAATCTCAAATGCACCTTGACTACGGGTGATTCTGTCACGGCTTCGATACGTCACATGTCATATCTTTGATGTGGTCAGTAAGTACCAGAGCTACATAAATGGGAATGAATCAGTTCACTGAGAACACAAATCCCGGATGTTCTCTGCTTATTGACCGTAAGCCTTATCTGGAGCTATTGGGGTTGCACAACTTCAAATCCTGCTTGGTACCATCCAGCTTCACGACCAGACAGTGGTGGAATCAACATGAGTACATTCAACACCATTTTAAATAATTCATAATTCATTAGTATATGCTAAGTAACGTTTTCAGTGATAAAGCAAAAATTAGCTACGCGTTATGCGAAATATAGATTTTGATTGTAGCCATCTCTATCAGGCTAACACTGCTCTTTTGTATCTATCTAATTTACTGAAACAGCTTCCAAATCCTGATAAGTAGCTCAGATAAGAGCTTCACATAGAATAACCCTCAGCTGCTATTTCAATATGTGAACCCCTAAATAATAGAAAGATTCTGTAATCAAAAGGAAATGTATTCGTTACCGAAAGTTTGAGCTCAGATCTTTTACGCCAGGCAAATTTCGAGTTATTGAATGAGCCATCTCTGCAGCATTGCAACTATGGCCTCGCACAAAGCGAAGATGAACACGGCTACAGCGGTGATGTTGCGGCTCTATGTGTCCCTGGCTGCGCGCGGCACATATGCAATGCCCGATCGATCCATGCAAATCCATGCTATTGGTGTTTACGAATCCGCTTCGCAAGCGACGGAAGGCATCCGGGACGAAGTACATCGTTTCCCTATCGCAGCTAGTTACACCGACGATTTCGAAGACAGCGATGATAACATAGCAGTTGCCATTATCACCGAAAACTCGAATTCGGTTTTTCATCTAGTCTCTCGCTATGTTCGACTGCTGAGCGGGCTCATGGGCAACAAAGTAGATAGAGAACTCATCAGCAAAGGAGGCAAGCAGAAAAGTGGGAAAAAAAGCATGGGAAAGAAGATAAAGAAGGGAAAGAAGAAACAAGGGAAATGTACATGCGAGGAAGACGACGACGAAGACGTGGCATCTTCTCCGTCTGCTTCTCTTCATCAGGGCGACAATAATGTTGAACGACGGATGTATGAACGTGAAGACAACGATGGAGACGATGACGACGACAACGATGGAGACGATGACGACGACAACGATGAAGATGATGATGAGGACGATGTTGACAATGATGATGAGGACGATGATGAGGACGATGATGATAATGATGACGAGGACCGTGCATGTGAAGATGAAGACGAGGATTCTGAAGAATCTAGCGGTCATGGCCATAAGAAAAAATGTAAGCATAAAATAAAATAAAAATTAATAAAAAATTTAATAAATTTTGGATTTGTAAAATTTTAAAATCTAAAATCAAATTTGGTTTTGATTCAGATGTTGCAATTTATGGTCTAGAATCAGGCAAATAGATATCTTTCATCTTTAACTTATAAAAAAATTATATTATCAAAAAATATATTTTTTTATTCAAGGAGTTTTTTTTAAATATATGAAGTAATAAAAAAAGATATCATTATTTATAGAAAATTTATTTAATACATTAAATTGTTATTTTGAATAGTAATTTTTTTATTAAGCTAATACTTCTGTTTGACATCTTATAATTTATAAATCAATATAGTCAATCTAATATTAATATCATGACAATTTTGACCTTTATAATTTATAAATAAATATAGTCAATTTACTTAAATCTTTTATATCTTATTAATTTTTTTACTGTATACATTTATTCTAGCATTGATATTACTTATATATTTTTAAAACTATTGATGTTGTATAAAAAAATTAAATACACGTTTTAATCATTGAAATTTAAGAATTAAATCTTTTACTTTAAAATATGTAAAATCTACCAAATTTTAATTTGCAATTTGTATATGCTAATTAGTGATTCTATTTTTTTCAATTTTTTTTCAAATTATTAAAAATATAAGTATAAATTAAATTTATTTCAATATTTTATGGCTTAAAAATAAAAAATTGATATTTATACCATTCATTAAATTTTACGTTATTCTTATGAATTCTTATAATATTCTTATGGTTACATATAATAAAAAGGTTAATAATTATATGTAACTACTATAATATATAATAATGATTAATAGAATTCAAATATTTTTTTTTAAAAAAAATCTTATATATATTCCTTTAGTTATCACAGACATATATATTTATTATGATATTTACTTATATAATTAAGTAGAAATAGGTAAAAGTAGATTTATTTCATAATATTTTCTAGACAAGCTTCTTAGAAGCTTCATACCATTGTTTTGACTTTATATGTATTTGTAGTTGATTGGTAGGATAGAAACTTGGTCAATAAGTTAACCACCTATTAATAGCTTATGAAACAAGTTAATTATATGGCATACATATAAAAAACTTGCCTTACAAGTTAAGATACTTGTCTTGCAAAGTCAACATATTTTGGAGATTTTAAAGGATATTGCCACATAGCTCCTAGTTAAGAATATATATAGAGGTAAGAGTGAAGCCTTCTTCATTCTTTTCAATGTTGTTCTAGTCCTTAGTCTTGTTTCAAGATTTTTTAGTCTTCTTGTCTTTGATAATAGCCATTCTAGTTTAATACTATACCATCTTTGAGTGATTTTCTAGTCTTTTCAAATATCACAAGAGTGTATTGATATTTTAGTTCTTTGAGATTCATGTCCTTTATAGTTTGACAAGAGTGCTAATTTTTTATTCTTATCTTATATTAGAAGTGAGTGGATTATTTTACTTCTATTGTTGTATTTTGAAGGTTGTGGATTATCCACTTTTAAACAAATTATTTAATTTTTTATAACCAGTTTTTTTTTCTTAGAGGTTGTAGATAACCATCCTCTAATTTGATTTGTAGATTTGTTAAATTATTTGAAATGGAGGAAATAATCATGGATGCAACTTGGTGGAAGTGAGAATAGAATTGCAACTATTGCAGATCTATACAAACTTGTTAACATTCTTAGAATAGAAATTTCACAAATTACTATTGTCAACTATAGAAATACTAATTCTATGCCTATGGAAGAAGTTCAGAACCTATGGTAAGAAGTTGTGCAAATGAAGGAAGCAAGTAAATTAAATTCAAACCCAAATTTAAAATTTTTTGCTCCTACAAGTACGATAGAGATATGAATTAGTATGCTAGATAAGTTTAATGGAACGAGATCAAAATTTTGACAATTTTTGCAACAAGTCAAGCCCTATCTAAGGTTGTATTTCTTCCAATACCTTAATAGATTTACTAAAATTGGGTTCATAAGTACACTTCTATTTAGAAGTACTCTCTCTTAGTTTGTACTTTTAATAGAAAAGGATTCATGACTTCTTTATGATTAAAATTCAATCCTAAAAGTATTTACAGCTACATTTGGAAAAAGTGATCGAGAAAGAGTAACAGAGACCAGGCTCTTATGTATATAGCAAGGATTACGGTCAACCACTATATATGTTGTTGAATTCCAAAATATTACTTGCAACATAGACTAGAATAACAAAGTCCTTATCAATCAATTTTGATATGGATTGAAGGATAATTTCAAAGATTTGTTATTAATAATATCAAAAACAAAATCTTTCAAACAGTTTATTGTTCAAGCCATTGTATGTGACATTTGATTATTTGAAAGGCGTCAAGAATAAAGACTTGGTTGGAGAGAAATAAATCAAGTAATGACAGTAATTCCTAAGTTTTCAAAAACTTATTCATGAAGACTAAAAATAATACAAATTGATAGAGTACGTTTTAAATTCCTCATGGAGCAAAAAAAGACTTGACATCATCAAGAAGATTTGTGCTTATATTGTAAAAAAGCTAATCACACTAATCAACATTTTCTAAAGAAGCAATACAATGACAAAATGAAGAGCACAATTTCCAAAAAAAAAATAATGTGTGCAAAAATGAGTTTTTTTAGCTACAATAGGGGTTGAGTAGCTAAAATCATGTATAATACTTAATAAAGGTTCTATTCTCTCTTTAGATTCCTCACCTTGTTTTATAATAGATATGTGTTTAGGACCTAAAAATCACAAAGTCTTTATATTATTAGATTTAGAAATCTCAACCTATTTTATAAACAAAGACTTTGTTAAAAAATAAGAAATATCTTTAATCAAGAAAATTAAACTTGTACATGTAGAAGTCATAGATGGTCGTTTGTTATCTTATTTGCTTTTCATTCTAAAAAAATTTCAGTAGTTGAAATTAACTACAAGATCCATAATAAAGATTTTTTTGTAATTATGGATTCATTTCAAGAATGACATCATTATCTAAAAGGTGTTTTTTAGTCCAATTATTATGTATATAGATCATAAGAACCTTGAGTACTTTATGTCTAGATGCATTTTGAATTGTCACCAAGCTCGTTGGAGTATGTTTGTATAAAGATTTGATTTCAAGATCACCTATAGACTTAGAAAACAACAAGATTTATCAAATGTCCTTTCTAAATGTTATTGTATTGTAATTATTTATGATATATAAAAATTAATTAAAATATATGATATATTTATAAGTGTTGATGTGTATTAGGATGGTTAGTATATTAATTTAAAAAGAGTTGATATAAGAAAATTTATTTTGAAATTTACCTATTTTTATTTTAATATTTAAATTATACAAGATTTAGATATTTAGTATAAAATTTAAGGAGAAGATTGAGACTCAATGATAAAGATTCAAACTTGTAAGAAAATTATTTAGAAGAATGAAAGCAAGGTATGGATAGATGAAAACAAAGAATGAAGATCTTCATCTCTATTCGATGAAAGCCATACCTAATAGGCTCTTAAGAGACTATCTACGACCATAACAAGGATTTTGGTAACTTCAAAATATGCAATTAAAAATTAAAATTAAGGATTATAAGGTTTACAATTTGGACTATAATTTATGTGTAAATTTTAGAAGATTTGGAATAAGCATGATAAAGTTATAGCCATTTGAAATTAAGGTGTCTTTTTAAGATATATTGTTGCTCTTTTGAGAATACAAGGAAATATACAATAGATTTTTGAGTTCGAGAGATATAGACATAAAGATGATTTCAAGACTTATATCTTTTATGAAGGAATTTTTACATTTTGAGTTTGTATGAAGGAATTATAAAGTATTGAAGATAGCATATTTAATTCAAAGGCAATAAGTGAGTCGTTTTGTTGATAGTAATGGTTGGAGCCATATCTTGAGTTTTTCGACAAGTTTTTTGTTCAAAATTTCTAAAAGTGTGTATTAATAGGTTAAAAAGCTATATATCAAAATTTTATAATATTTAATTACTTAATTTGTAAAATATAAAAAAAATTATACACAGATATATATATATAAGCAAGAATATGAAGCTACTATTAGAATTTTGGAAATATCTCAAGATGTATAACAAATTTATAATTGAAATATGTTGTAGTAGTTGTTGAAAGTACAAAAATATTTTATGTAAAATTTTATTTTATTTGGATGGTTTGATTGTGAGATATAAACTATTCAAATTTGAAAATATTTCATCTTAAGGATATATAAAGTTTTATAATATTTTTATAATATTTTGGCTGATCTTTGATACTTAGGACTTATGTATTGATGTAATTGTCTCTACAAGGACAATTTTATATATAAACTTGGTATATTTCTATCTTGTGACTTAATTGAGCAATTAATGATAAGAAGAAGGCTAGTACTTTCTTGAGGCAAATTCTCTCTACCTCAACATCCTTATCTTGCACCAAAAGAAAAAAAATGTAATTTTTGATCAACAAAAATAATTCTCTTGAAGTCTAAGCATTTTCATCTTTGAGCAATAAAATAAACATTCATTGTTGATTCAACCTTTATTGAGCAAATTCAATCAAGTATGTCTTCTAATCATCTTATTTATGATATCAAGAATAATTCTTCTAAGTCTCATAATACTTCTAAGTTTGACTTTAAAAATAATCTACTCTACTTCAAGGAAAAATTATAAATTTCAAGAGACAAAGCACAATTACATGTTCTTTAAGTTCTTCATGACTTTCTAATAGCTAGATATTTTGGATACAATAAAACTTTGGAGCTAATATCTAGAGATTTTTTGTAGCTTCAAATTTGGAATGCAGTCAAAGACTTTGTACAATCATATGATATTTGTTCAAGATTCAAAACTCCTTGTCATCAACCTTATGGACTTCTTCAATCATTACTTATTTTGAAACAATCATAATTTTAAGTTTCTATAGATGTTATTACAGATCTTTTAATTTCAAGTTCCTATGATTTTATATTTTTAATAGTAGATTGCTTTATCAAAATAGCACATTTTGTATCATGTAAAAAATCCATCATAAGTGAAGAAACAGCTAAATTTTTTCTTGACAACATCTATTATTATTATGGATTGTTTAAGGATATTATATT